TTGCTATAGGGTGTGTGCGCTCGCCAGAAAGAGAGAGACAGAGAGACAGAAAGCGAGAAATCACCCCCTGGGGGATGGCCACACTGCAGTCCCTTCTTCTCCATTCTCCTCTTGGGATCTTAGGCACGCACACACACGCAACCGGCATGAGTTTAAGCCACCGGGTCCGGGACTCAAACCGCGGTTGACTACATGGGAGTCCAGCAACATTAGCTATTATGCTAATTGCTGGTCCCGGCCTTTTATTTAAATTTGAAGATTGGATTTAACATTCCCCAAAAAAGGTTTTTGGACTGTTGATATGGGTTACAGGGACTCTATAGATAGTTTCAAGTAGAATAGAGGGTAGCTTTCCATTTTCTGTGTCTTTCATTTCTTTCAGCAGTGAACAAATGCAGGCCAGGGCCTGGTGGAGGAGTGGAGCACACAGCATACTCAGGGAGGAAGGAGAGGGAAGGAGACAGACGCCCACTTCCTGTGTTTGTGTCCCCCCCCTCCCCCCCGCACTCCTGCCAGTTTATGGTGCCCATCTACATCGAAGGCGGGTCTTCCTCTCTGTCCATTGACCACCTGCCAGTCTTGCCAGGTAGCGTTTTCCCAGACACTTAGAAACAATGCTTCACTAACCTACTTATCCTTCAGTCCAGTCAAGGACACCCCAAATTAACCAGAAGAACCTCTCTACTGGTAGTTTTCTTTCTTTGGGGTGGAGATATGGGAGGGTAAAGGACCCCACCACCCACTGCCCTGCTCGTCCCTTCTTCTTTTCATTTTCTTACAGGAGCAAGGAGACTTGGTCTCAGAAAGCCTTCTCAATGTTGTCTCCCATGTTTCTTAGGCCTAAATTAAGTCACGTGTTTTATTCTTAAACCAAAGCCGGGGATGCTTTGAGTCTGTGCTCTCGTTTCTGAATTATCATTGCGGCGAGGGTGGTTGTATCACTTCAGGCCGGTAGGTGGGCTCTGGGAGATGGGCGTGGGGCAGCTCCCCTGAAGTGCAGTGACTTGGTGGGTAACTGGTAGTGATCTGAATTTAACTTATTGGTGTTTCTAAATATTTCAGGGTGGATTCGATGCTGACTAAGCAACTATCTGCGTCTACCTAATGAGTACTAGTACTAGCAGATTGCACGGTAGTTAAGGCGCTGGGTTCTCACGTGGCCACTCGCAGTTTGAATATCATACCTGTTGACTGAAGGTCATGCCCTGTGCATACCTGCCCCAAATCCTGAGAGGAAAATCGAGAAGGGCTTGTGGCATGGCCGTCTTCCCTGTGCGGCGATTTCTGACTTTCACCCTACCCTCTCTGTCTCTGGAGAGCACATGCATCCTATGGCCAAAAAGAAAAAAAAAATTGAATTCTATAAATTTTCATCTCATGTCTTAGGAAGTTACAGTAATAGGAAAACAGACAACTGAAGCAAGTTTTAAATTGACTTCAGTTGAAAACTTCCTCTGTAGCTTCCCATTTATAACGGTTGATGCCAGCTGACTGGCTGTAGATACCTACAGAACAGAGGAAGTTCTTTAAAAATAATGAA